CATCGTCCGGACAGGAATCTTCATTTCCCTGGATAGGATCTTCTGCTTCCGGAGTGGACTCCTTTGAATCCTGGCTTTTACAGCTTTGATGGCTGCTGGAGTCCTTACTTGACGAGGTCTTCCGCTTCTTGGCCTGTCATCAACAGAGGACGTCTCATTGTACCGCTGAATGGTCCTAGACACAAATTTACGCGATATTTGAAGGCCGCGTAAGAGTTCAAAAATCTGACTAGCACTGTGATTACACTTATGTAAAGCTATCACTGCAATACGGTTCTCTGCCTTGCCCCACTCCATCGTTATGCTTCGAGAGATCAATACAAACTGAGGTATATGTAATTACCCGAAAAGCGCTTAATCAACTGACACCACAATGTAAACAATCGGACAAGTATTAACAGGTCTACACTTGTTTGAAAACGAGGGACAGAACTTATGGCATGACTATGTATACATGCTAACAGTAATTACACACAACGCGGGCGCGGTGGTGATTTCCCGTAATTCTCCTCAGTTTTTCGTAATTCATAACTTTGAACATAACCTCTCTTCAGAAAGCACAACATAAAAATAACCCGACGGGCACAGCCAATAGAATATACTTCATTGGCAGCATATTCAGTAATGATTTTCTCACACAGCAAATATCACTGATTTTATACACATGCAGACCAATACACATAATCATCCAGATGCTATTCACCCAACGTTCTTCTCAGAGATAAAAACTACAGACAAGGACCATTTGACCTCACAACACATATGCAACCAATAATGCGTGTAGTTTAATTGAGTGATTCCTCCTTAGATGGACGTTCACAACGATCCTAGTAAGCAAACGTGGAATGACTGTTTGCGCCCTAAAAACTACCTAGTTTGCAAGATGACAGCGTATAGGTTTTCTTGACGTTTTATGGATTGTTTACATGATACCCATGCTGCAGACTTATTACATATAAAACCTACCTATATAATTTCAAAAAACAATAATGTAAACTTGTTGACTAAGATAACTGGTAGTGTGCAAATAGTTCGTTCCGCGCCTGCTACAAGTGAGCATGAAGTGAACGACAGCAAGTTCCTAGTTCACATCTTTTGTCTGTGATCTTGTAGGGAAACCTACACAATATCATATAAAACCTTCATAATGTCTAATTTGTTAATTCGTCTGCTATAGTTGTCGTCACCGTTCTTGGCGGGTCAAAATAAGACCCAGTATCCCTTCATATATCGCCATCTCCGTCATACATGCAACCTACCCCTGCCTGTGAACGTTTGTTCGGTAAGCTCAAAGACATAGGTATTTTAGTTGTGTGTCTCCGTCTCGAAAACTTTGTCGCTAAATACGAGTGCTCTTCAATCATAATTGTCAGTAACAAGTAACTTGTCATCGGCGTGCAATTTGGATTGTCCTGTTATCAATCTTCAAAATAAAATTGTACAATACCCGGAAATACGATCAATGGAGAAGGCCGACAGCTCGTGCTAAATTTATTAATTTGCAGGAAGAGAATGAAAACAGCGGTCCCCTGTTACCCACTTCATGCGTACTGAAGGGAGTAGCAGATGTGCTGAAGATTAGTCTGCGCAGTGTTCCGCCCATGTTACGGAGACTCGATCTGTTTACTTATTTCATATGACGTTGATGACGTAAACGCCAAGAACGGTGACTACAACTTTAAACAGTCTTCTTTAAATCAAACATATTACATTTATATAATACATAAAAGAAGTGATACAAACCACTTTCCCTTGAAAATTGTAATACGCTGCTCCCATCTTTCCATTTTTGTAAATAATGCAGAGAATGTTTATAGCTTCATCAAACTCGTTTCCCTCTTGGGTATCTTGTATATCATCTGACTCTTTCTGAGCTGTGGTATACTTGCCTTTGGTTTTGTTTTTACTGAAATGTAAGATTTCAATAATCTCTGGTGTTTCAGAGTTTTCTACTTCAGATTGTGGTTCAGACATGTTTCAAACGAAATTACGAAATTCTACCAAAATTGAAGCGCTTGTATTGTTTAACGTCCCACAACACACTAGATCTGAATTTATCCTTTTAAATTTGAAAAATGAAATGGCCATGATACTATGTTACTCAAGTATATGTCACGTTTCATGAAAGACTGTGTGTCCCAATACAACGTTGTCAGATGCATAATACTTCCCGCAATTGCAGAAAAGTTACTTCATCCAAAATGTCACCCAAGTCATTAATCAAATCCAAGCGGATAACCAAAATTTCCGTATTATGTACCGCGGTTATAATATGGTTCAAGATGACACACGGGATGATGACGTCAGTTACTCGAATCGCTTGAACGCGTTGGTTTTAACCGCGGTTTGTTGCAAGTTGTTTATTTTAGAAAAGCGCATATATAATTTCTGATTATTTTTATTATCACTTAATAATCGGTGCTTTTTCGTCTACAACGAGGTATGGAAAGTTGAAAAAAATAAAACTTTCATAATATTAATGGGACGAATGTTTATTTTTTTTCAGAAAAACATTTTTACTGATGGAACCATGGCTTTGTAGCTATGATAACTTTCAATTCTCTAAACTTTTCCGCATGTCAAAGAAAATATTTATTGATTTAGCAGAAATGATGAAAAAGCGATGAAAAAAGTTATTAACAAAACCGTATACAGGTGGACATCATTCAGTGAGTTTATACGGCCATATTTTAATATTCTTGTAGTATATGGCTATACAGGATACTTTGTTAAGCGTAGGAACTAGATTTAAAGTGTCCCCAACAACAGTAATGATTATAAATAATAAGGTGCTCTCTTATGCTAAAACTGAAGTCAGCCTGTATCAAGTTTCCCAAAAAATGAAGCTGAAGTAAAATAAAAATATCCAATACCCGGCAAAATTCTAACTTATCACATGTCAAATAATAACCAGAAATATAAAACTACTTCCGAGTAGGATAAATACCACAATTTTGTGGTGATAACTATGACATATAACAGCTGATTCATGACGTCACGGATCTTATAACCAAACTGATAACCACACTCGCTTGAACAGATCGGTAAATACCAATCCGCTTGAATTTGATTATTGTATCAGCAATATTCTCAGTAGTATGGGGAGTCAAATCATATGGAAGAATGGGAAACAATGCGGTGCTGCCGCACCAAAACCTGACAGCACTGTGGCATCTACAAAAATGGCGGTTTTGACGAGTATGGCGGTTTATTGCTGTCATTTCTTAAAGTCTAATGTAGGTTTTTCGTAACCACAAGTTTTATTAAATTTTTTATTTGAACTAGATTTTTCTTTTATGGAGTTGATGTACTTTGTAATCTGGAGTGTAACACCTAATATGTTGGTGAAATTGTATAAGAGAACAACTCATTTTGGTGATCAGAGATTCATAGAATATAGATTAACTGCTACATGGCTAATGTAAGTTTAGAACATATTGAGTGATTTGTAAAGATTTTCTGTTAATATTGGTATCCTGTAGTTGATGACATTTGCGACAGTTTCAGTGAGTTTCAAGTTTGAATATGTACTTCAACATAAAGGGTTTGGTTACTTTTTTCAATTTTTGTCGCTTATAAAGAAGACGATTTGAGTGAATCGAAAGTCAGATATTCTAATAATATACAGGGTGACTTTGAAGTTGAGTCATTAATTTTCAGATAATGATTGTAGAAGGAAGATAAACCAAAATATGTGTGTAAAAATTAAAAAAAAATGTTACCTTGTTTTATAAAATATCCTCCCGACAAGTATTTCAGTGCGGACCTGTATTTGATCGTGCGGTCTTGGAGCACATACCCTCCCGTGTGAGGACTTAGGTCACCTGATTCACGAGCCCTTTGTACTACATTAACAAAGGCACTAGGGGTTGGTTGCACTCGATTGGGAAACCGATCCGCATAAATCCATGTTGCCGTAGCAGCATTTTGTAAAATAAGAATCATGTCCACAAGTTCAGCATTTTCGTAAACATGTGCCACTTTTTTGTTTCGTTTGAGCCACGCAGAAACACCACTCACGCGTTACCGACTGACACATCGAATGAATACAACTGAATAAAATAAATGAATAAAACATCGTGATAAGCGTTTCAAATTCTTTCGCTTTTTTGTTTCCGATGCGATGAACGGATAAGGCGGATTATATCAGTTGTTGCCAAACACGAGCACATATTATTATTGAGACAGGGCGGTACTCGAACTTCTAAAGGGCTATAACTTTGTTACTTTAATTTTACCACAAAAATGTTAAATTTCTCTTTCTTTTGATCAGATCTACTCACTGTTAAAATAAATGACTCAACTTCGAAGTCATCCTGTATAGACAACATGTTTGAATCATATAAAATCTTATACGAAGTGTGATATATTTTAACGATTGTTCAAAAATTCCTAAACTATATAGACTCATATGTTCCACAAAACTTGAACACTATGATTATAAATTTTATGGAAATGTGATTAGATATTCCCGTATTACAATTCTTATGAAAAGTCTGGTAACCCTAGTAACCTTGCAGTCGTTAACGATAACCATTATTTCTTTTGAAAAAAAATGTTTTCATCACTAATTCTAACAGTTTTTCCATGCAGGTGCTGCAGAAGACCATCACCAAGATTGAAAATATTTGCACCATACATATTATTGACATGTTCATACAATATAAAATATAGATAAAATTATATTCTCAAGTAGGTATAGATTTTTTACTGTTCTCATAATTTCAAATAAATGTAGGATTAGTAGATGATTTCATAATGGCCTGCATTATTGATGCTGCTGCTTCAACAGATAAGTGAGTACTTGTTTGTCAAAACAGCAAACATATGTTAGTAACACGGCGCTATAAAATCTTCCATAAATATACCATTAGAAATAGGCTCTATAAAATTACACAACAACCTCAGATCTATGCAACGAGCTGGCAACGTCATATGTAGCGCTTGCACACAATCTGGCAACCGTGTTGTATCCATAGAAAATGGCGGCTTGACACTGACATAAGTCAACCGTGTTGTCCTATGGATAGAACGAGACTCAGACTGTATCTTCTTCTGTGTATGTGTGTATATGTTTTGTGCCAGCAAGCACCCCAAGCATTTTTGTAAATATTTTTTGTCATAATTCATATCACATATCTTTTCATCATTTCTTATCTCATGCTCATACGTGCCAATTAAGTATCTTCTAAGGTCCTCATAAGTATAAGGTGCCAATTCAAGTCAGAACCGTTGGACAAACTAGCATTTCGAAGCCGTTGATAATGGTTAAAAGACAACTTTTGTTGCTTTCTTCTTCAAGAGTTCACGGTTACGGAGGATTTTTGGAGTACGCCTCCAATGATATCTGCAATATTCTAACTGAGTAAGATAACTTTGTATCTTATCTGATTTCTTAAAACATTCTACAACCATAATTTGTTATTCCAAATCTTGATCCATTTTAAGATTATCAACTTGCTGAAAACAATGTTTTCTGACTGAATGCTTTCTAAATAGTGTATGGAAACTAATCTAAAGTCTTTTGTCTGGGTTCAGTTCAACAGCGAGAGATCAATTGCCTAAAAAGTTTGGTACAAGGTAGATAGTAGTTAGTGTAAGATCTTCACCAATTTGTTCAACATATGAAAAGTATTTTATATCAAATTTAGTATATTAAAAAATATATTGCTAGTGGGTTGGCTAAAAAACTCCGGGCGAAACTAGGGTTAATTAAACATTGAAAAATTATGTTTTATTAAACATTGCAGTAATGAGTTTAATGAATGAATTTAATACCAACCAAAAGTACCTATGAACCCTACAGAATATGCAAACATTTTCATAGTTTCTGAGAGATGAGAGTTGAATTTGAAACACCCGGTATACATTTAATTCATTATATATTCATCATTTTTTTGCCAAATCTACTGCAAGCCGCTCCATAATTGGGCTCAGTTTTTAGTAGAGTATTGCACAGGATACTGATCTTAGACCTCTTTGTCACAAGTTTCCATCTGCATCAGAACCAGGTTTCTTGCAGACAATCCTATATCATCATGCTCCTGTTGAAACCACTTATTTTGATATATGATTTATTTATCAAACAAATGGGTGAAAATAACTGGTATCAACATACCCATTTATACCTGACAACCACCTAGTAATTATGCCAGGAAAAAAGTAGGCAACCCAACATTTCTATATTCTAAAGGCTTCATAATTGTGGTTGGTATTAAATTTAGTGCAATATTAAATAAAAAGTAATTTTTTTATTTCCTTGCCAGAAATTTTTTAGTAAGCCCAATCGCCATATATTTTTTAGCATACTAAATTTAAAATATTAAATACTTTTCATTCCAACACATGGGTGAAGGTTGTTTCTAGTTCAGATCTTATACTAATAGTAACACTTGTATGACTGTGTTCAAGCATGTCCTTACTTTAAATAACTTAATTAGCTCATCTCAATAATTATTACAGACACTTGATACTCTTGATTTGATTACCAAATAGTTACAAAGAATGTGATCAGTACTTGTAGTTTGATTATATTAGATGAAAGTACCCTTGGCTTGTGAAATAATTGTAATGTTTGGTTTTATTGATGCGACTTGTTCAATGGGATATTTAAAACATGGATGCATAAAACGGTTACCCCAATTTTTGTGGGAAAACTTTTTATTCAACATCAATGAATCAGAATACTTGTTTTTTGAGATTCAATCAAAAGTGTTGGCAGGAACGAAAAAACTATTCTGATTTTTAGGTTACGAGACCTACAAAGTGAGACCGAACGTAAAAAGATCCGACCAATAGCAAAAAACTTATTGCCGGAAACCTAGGCAAAATGTAGGTTTTGGCACTTGTTGGTAATGCGACGATAATTTCACGCAGCTACTTGAAATTCTTCAAATCCGTAGGCTTCATACTTGTAAATAACCACAACAAAATTGGAGAAGATTGCTCAAGTAGTTTTTGAGAATTTTTAGTTGCTTATCCCAAAACACCTGCTTTTCAGCCATCACTACTAGTTTATTGAGGAATATACAGGGTTTGTGCATATGGCATTTTATAGTAAAATACACGAGTTTACCTTGCCAATATCAATCACAAACCATTCTGAAAGATAATTGTTATTTTTATGCGAACAACAAAGGGTTACGTTTTTTCTTCTAAACAAATCCAACCATTTTGTATTTGTGAGTAATTGAATAGACGCGCTATGATATTCGAAAAGATAGATTATTATATACATTTTAAAACAAAGCGGATGTGTCTATCACCTTTTGTTGCGAAGAAAAAAAAATGTCTCTTATGTATGCATATTCAGAGCTGAAATTTTTACATGGCACAGTCAAAATTTCGGATGTATTTCACTGTTGTTAATATTAATAATTTACCCATCTAAGATGGATGTTTTCAAAAACTGTCTGGTATGATCCGTGTGGTCTCATTTTGTAGGTCTCATAAAGCTAAAAATCTTATATGAAGAGTTTTTCCGTTCCTGCCAACAGTTTTGATTGAATAGCAAAAACACGTTTTCTCATTCCTTGTTGTTGAATAAAAAGTTTTCTCACAAAAATTGGGGTACCCATTTTATGCGTCCATGTTTTAAACAAATTTGCTAATATGATTAGAGACTACTGATACCTTGAGCATCCATGTCTCTGCATTTATAATAGGGACATTGTTGAAAAGGCAATTATGGTAGCAACATCATTAAACTCTCCTAATGATAGTATTTCTAATTACAATAGCATCATTTTAGTAAAGGAGACTATAGTTGTGCTGTGCTAATAATAAGTTTAATACTCACTTCAAATAAGTAAGAAGTACAGACTGTTATGACCAAAGAATACAGAGTTACCAGTAGAGGGAGCACTCGTGAAAAAGACTTTGATCTGCTGAAGATTTTTCTGAGAACTCCGATCCTTTATTTAGATGCCTCTTTTATTGCTTTATACAGAGTAGTTCTGTTGTACTTTGACGCATGAACGGAATAGGTTGTTTGTAACGGCATTGAGTAAATATATTTATACAGGGTGATTAATGTCATTATTGTTTTTGTGGCATGGACAGTGTATCACAAATAACCTTTGCTTAAAATGATTGCAAGTTGGAAAACAGTTTTTAGCCTCTTCGTCACTGACTGGCGATGATTCATCTGTCGTACTGTCTTCTTTGTCATTAGGTAACCATAGTAACCGCTGTGCCGATTTTGTCAAAACTTGAAATATACTGTAGTTTTAAAATGTTTGTAAGGGCGACAAATGTTTTTTTAAGTTTTCTTATCTGTATTTAGGTGAAAAAGTGAAATAAAGAATGGAAAATAACGTGAAAGAAATGAAATCTACATCTCAATGATGTTATTTTTCAAAAATAAAATTCCCATGTGTCTACTTTATTAAAAATATTAATTATCTTCCCTAGGCTTTGTAGTTTTTTTTTCTATGATTTTTTAAAGTTCGCTTAACTTAATGGCCCACCTTGTATAATAAAGTAATCGTGTAGGCTTGATTTCAGGTAGGACAATGAACGAAAGCTGAGCAGGTATACCCTCTATCTATAGAATAAGGTCTATCGAAATAAGACAACACAAAGAGCCATCTGTTACCAGAATCGACCGCTGCGAATTGTTTTCACTTTTCGATATATTTCGATAAATCTAAAGATGAGTTAATGTTCTCAATTTAGGATTAACTTGATTTGCGCTAGTAGTGACTATATTCCTGTCGACAAATCTGAATTGAAAATAAATGGTGACTTGTGTATAAAGTTAAAAAAAATTATCAGCAGGAAACTGTTCACAAGGATGAGTGAAACACGAACAAGACTTCATTTTTCAGTCGTTTTCCTGCGTTGTCTGTACAAGCCAAGTTATTTGTAAATATTTCCTCAAATTCCATAACATATTCAACGAAGCTCAGAAAAGGCACTATCAAGCCTCCAAATTGATCATGTGATTGTGATATAGCGTTTTTGACACTGGAACACTTATGAATCATGGACAAACTTTGGATGGATCTTCTTCATCAATTACACCTCGATACCTGACCTCCTTTGTGAAAAAACGGTTTCCACTACTTAGGTACTACAGGAATACCTTCGTTGAGAAAAATATTTTGATTGTTTTTTCGCATGATCTCTTTAAAAAAATGCCCCTTCTAATGAATTTGCATGTTGTGCACAAAACCTTATCAGAATATTTTTCCGAGCAGTGAGATGATACTTCCTGGACAATTACCGCAGGTAATGAATGGGTGATCGCATCCAAATGGCATATAGCATTTCAACCACCAGAGGTATCATCTCAGCCACCGCGGCAGAATCCGTTTTTTCAATGGAGTGGTTCTTCTACTGGTAACTCTGTATTTGGTTATGACATATCTATATTTTAACGCGATGAGTTTCTAAAAATGTATCTCTTTATAATAGCACTGCAACTGAGGAACCTAGCTAGATTCGTTTTATAATGTTTCAAAAGCTTTTGCTATACTGGGTGACAGTGAAAATTGGAAACATGCTGTACTTTTTTGGCAAATAAAGATATCGCTCCAAGATTGGGACATGTCTAGTTAGTCATTAAGAGGCATTTCTGGAAAGTTGAATGGTTTAACCGCCAAATAACTAAACAATAATGGGTACGCTATGAATTGTCTTTCATTTGTTTTCTACAGCCTACTATTCTTTTCAAATAAATACTATTTGAAGACATGCCACATTTTCATAGCCTCCTTACTTTCTTGAGACGAGTGGTAGCTTATATGAAATAGTTGTAATTTCAATTTGTTACTGAACGGATAGTAGCTTTCAGAACATTATTGGAAATGCATTTTCATTTAGAGCTAATAATAAAAAAACTAAATTTTGTTTTGTAATACCTATAGCTTATGGAGATTTATTCACAAATTCTTTTATGCAGCTGTCATTGTACAACGAAAGTAATACTTGTTATACATCATTGAATAGAAAATTGAATAAACGTAGAATAAGATTTCTGGAAAAGGTATACAGGGTCATATTTAAAATCTATCAGAAATCCTGTGTTGAAGATGTGGATTCCTGATTTTTTTTCAAATAAGTATACTAACATGAAAAACACTAATTACAAGCTTTCATTTATTTAGCCCATTTTCATAGAGATTCATTGATCACGCCATATTTTTTGTCTTGTAAGAAATATGGCGCATTTTAGGTTATTCACAAATTCCTTTATAGTGCCGCCATTTTAATACGAAAATGTCACTTGTGACACATCGTTGGAAAGGGAATTTTGCATACAGTACGATTATGGACGAAAATATACAGGTTTCCATTTGACAAACGAAAGTCAAGGTCACTTCCGGTTAAATCGGAAGGGAGAGATAACCCATTCAACTTTCAGAAAATGCCTCTTAACGACTAACTGAACATGTCCCAATCTTGGAACGATATCTTCAATTGCCAAAAAATACAGCGTGTCTAGAATTTTCATTATCACCAGGTATAATAATAATAATCGGTTTTTCAAAGGATGACTCCATTGCAATAACTGGTCAAGCTCAGTGTTTAACTAAATTTATTATGCATAGCTTAAAATTCTACATTATCTAATAGCTATCTCAAACTGTGGGCACTCACTTTCAGAGTTGGTATAGTACATCAACAAGCAGTTTGCATCTAAAAAAATGACTTAGATAGGGATGCACCAAGATTCGTACCCGGCAGTTGGCCTACTAGGGCCATTTTACCAAGCTGGGTAACGACTCGGTCGAAATGCAAGACACAACTTGTATGGACCAAATAATTGTAGACGTGATAAGCAAAGTCTGAGTTCATATGCCTTTTCTAAACCTTTCTAATTTGTTCTCCAAGAAAGTAATGCACCAACAAAAAAAAAATAGTATAGTATATTTTTGCTGGAATCAGTTGCCTAGTGCATATACGGTATTTTCATGGATTTTTTTATTATACGAAGTATGATTACTACATTTTATCGTGAAAAATTTCGGAATTGAGATATGTTTTTTGGATGTTATACCTATGAGATACAGGGTGTTGTTTATGCATGTGGCCAAACTTCAGGAGGTGATTATCTGAGTAATTTTAAGATGAAAAGTTTGTATAAACATAGGCCAGGCAATGCTTCATCTTCAAGATACAGGGTGTCAACCTTTTTTTATAAATCGGTTTTTCCTAAATATCTTGATAAACTTTCAGTCGATTTTGTTTAAATTTACCAGTGCTATTAGGGGCCATAAGGAGCTAATTTAGTCCCTATTAGATTGAAACTATTAAGTTCAGTGGCGTCCCGGAAAACACCCTAACCAACATCTTTGACAAAAAAATTTGTGAGCCACTGACTTTTTCAATGTTTCTTTTTCTTTAAATTCAGCAGCCAAAAATACAACTTTTTTCTCTCCTGAGTTTCTTTCATATCTCGCTTCGTTTGCGAGATGAATAAAAAGCACTTTATTGTATGTTTTTGATAACTAAGTTACACGGAAGTCGTTTTTTAAACAGATTATACATGCATTCGATAAAACAAATAAACATAAAATATTTACATAACGTTATCTATTGTTGCAATGTTTTTCCAGTGGCGTTGCACATTGGTAACGCTGGACATTAAAATAAATCGTATCGGAAAAACGCCTTTTTAAAACTACACTTAAACTTTTATTTCAATGAAAACATTTGACAGTAAATAACACCAGACTTATAATAGTTGCTGAAAATGCCCTCCTTCTACCTCAATGCAAGTATTAGCTCGTCTTAACATTGATTGCCGAACTCGTTGTAATATTTTCCTGGCGTATGTCTTATCTGATCACATGAAACTCGTATCCATTGGGTTAATTCATCTTCAGTGTTGACTGGAATTTTGTAAACGAGGGACTTCAAATGCGCCAAAGAAAAAATCTAACGGATTTAAATCCGGTAACCTGGATGACCATGATTGTGGACCTGCGCGCCCGATTAAGTTTTCTCCAAAAGTTGCATCCAAAAATTGGCGAACTACTATGCTAAAGTGAGGTGGAGCCCCATCGTGCATAAACCTTATTGCTCCTCTTCGAGCGGGACATTTTCTAGGTAAAATAAATTCCAAAAGATGACGATACTCTTGACCATTTAATCTCGGGGGTAAAACTGTTTGTTAATAATTAATTTCTGCAACAGCATGGCGATTTTCTTCAGCCGTGATATGATTCAAAGTTCATAATTGAATTTCGAGAAAACCACGCTTCATCGGTAAATAAAATACGGGACAGAAATATTGGAAACGCTACCTGTTGTTGTAAAAGCTAAGTACAATAAACGACTCGTTGGGGGAAAATCGGCACTTAAACACGCTGTATGTGGTAAGGATATATACTAAGTGACATATAAATCCGAACACCCAGTTTAAATGGTTTTATTTTAATAAAATTTTGTATAAGTACTTAATGAAGCATAATTAGTAAATGATAAAAATTTCAAAATGATTGCACTGCTTTAAAGCCCTTTGACCTTTAATAATGTGTGGATGCACCGTGATGTGCTACGCATTCTCCAACGCGTCTAGACATGCTTCTGATCAGGTGGTCAATGTCCTCCTGTGGTATCTCATTCCAGGCAACCACCAACTCCTCTCGAAGTGCTTCTAGAGTCTGAGGAGGACGTTGCAAATTGAGCAATCTCCTACCCATCATATCCCAAACGTGCTCAATTGGGGATAAGTCGGGAGATCTTGGTGGCCATGGTAACAATGTGACATCATTATGTTGAAAGAAGTCTATTGTGACTCTTGCAACATGTGGTCGGGCATTATCTTGTTGGAAAGTTGGATCTGCCAGGGTGTCAAGATAGGATAAAAGATGGGGTTCTAGAACTTCGTGGATTTAACGCTGCGCGTTCATGTTACCTCTGATGAAGATTAAAGGTGACCTGGAACCATAAGCTATAGCACCCCAAACCATAACTCCAACAGTGTGATGAACATGTCTTTCAACAAAAACTGTGGATTCCTCCTTTCCCCACGTCGCCTTCTAACCCTGGCACGGCCATCGTGCATGCCTAAACAAAATCGAGACTCGTCACTAAAGACAATACTGTTCCATTCCTGATCCCAGAGTGACCGTTGTCTGCACCACTCAAGGCGATTACGTCGGTGTTCTCGAGTTAAAGGGAGGACCCAGTGTGGCCGGTATGAAAACAAGCCAAAACTCATTCGTCGGTAAACACTTCGCATGCCAATAGGTCTTCCGTGTTCTGCAAACGATTCATTTGCAATGGACCTGGTAGTGGAGAAACGCTCCCTTAAGGCCAATAATCTTAGGCGGCGATCTTCACGGTCTGTTGTTCTACGACGGCGTCCAGTGCCCCTTGCTCTTTGCGTACGGCCTTCTCGAAGCCATGCCTGACAACACCTAACCACAGTGTCTACACTTCTTTGCACTCTAACTGCAATTACCCGAAAAGAAAGTCCAGCTTCCCGAAGTCCCACTATACGGCCCCTATCAAACTCACTAAGTTGACGAAATCGTACAGGTCTCCGTACTCTAGGCATCGTAACCGATCGTAAAGTTTGTCAAGAACCAAAATCCGCCAACGTTGATTCTTTACTGCGGCTGAAATATTCATTTTTAGAGCGTTAGTGAATTAAAAAAAAGCAGTATAAAAACCGGAATGTCCAACTGGTAAGGCTGAACATTTTTTCACTTGTTATTTACAGTAAGATAAATACATTCAACAACTTTTATTGAAATAAAACCATTTAAACTGGGTGTTCGGATTTATATGTCACTTAGTATAGTTAATATTCCCTTAAAACCTGCCATACAGTAAAGTGAGAGATGTTTAATTGTTCTGTAATTTTGCGTGTACTTGTATCAGGGCTACACTCAACTTCATGTAAAACTGCTTCTTCCACCAACCGACCTTTGAAAGGTGCCTAATTCGCACAGCCTTTCATGTATTCTCACGAATGTTTGTCTATTTGATATAATGCGATGATGATATGTTTCTTGATAAATGCGCCTAGCCGCTCTAGAATTGCCTTGAGCCATTCCATAAACAAAATGCATATTAGCCATTTCTGTGTTTGTAAATTGAACCATTTTCCAATATTAGTAAATTTATATCTTAAACACACTTCAAATATTTCGATCATTAATTACGTACTGCTTTAAGTAAGTTATGTCAAAGTCAGATTTCTTTGATTGACAATTGTTTTTTCTTTCATGGCACTCTTCTTTTTATTACTTTTAAAACATTGCTGTTATAAATTATTACGTTATGCGATTATGTTATGTTGTTTTGTTTTATCGAAATTAGTGCGAAAAAAATCAAGAGATGACTTTCGTCAAATGTTAATTGCTTAATCAGGGGTGCGTTTGTCAATCACTTGGCAATGTACTACCGTACACAGTAATGGAATGTAGATTGACAGATGAAATTGTACTCTGGATTATATTCTAATTAATATTCAACAAGAATTGGAAAAAAGTCAATGCTGAAAAATTGTTTTTCACATTAAGGTACGTACCTATATTTTGGGGAATGGTAATTCTCTGGCTTAGCTAGACCAGCCGTTTTTGATTAAAGTGAGCAAACGTGGAATGACTGTTTGCGCCCTAAAAACTACCTAGTACATACTACATTTTTTTGACGTTTTATAGGTGTTTCACATGATACCCGTGCCGTTCCATTCTGCAAATGTCGTGATTAAGAAGGTGTGCATACTAACGCATTTGCGGGCATTTTTAATCTCATTTTCATCGTTTACAACCCAAAAATAATGCCTATTCGAATGGAGAAACAAAAAGGCTGATGTAGCTAAGCGTGAACAAAATCGGATCTAAAATGGATCCCTGAGTACTCTGAAGAATACTCGGTACTCGGCCTTTTGAAAAAGAAGCACTCGGTGCATCCCTACTATTAAATATAACCCATTTTTTGCATTGGAGTCTCCAATTATGGCAGAAACACTGGGAAGGGAAACACACACTTTAGTATTATTTGGATATGCTAATTGAAAGTGAAGTACTGTATTATTTTATCTATATTTTTTCAAGGATTCTCCATTAAGTGATAATTCTGATGAGGTGAAATATTTTTTAAATAGCATAAGTTGGATTGCAACCAGCCGTATATATTTCATTTTTACTTATTTTATTCTGCTGGTAGTGGTCTAGTCTACAACTCATGCATTAGGCCCATTCCATATCATTCTGGATCAGCATTTCAGTTAATTCAAGGCTTCAATTTTGTCAAAAATTGACAACCTATCCTCGGATTATTATACATTTTTGGAAAGCTAGTATGACTTAAAGTTTTAGATATTACATACAGAAAAGCTTACATGACGTCATCTGGATGTTTTAAATTTTAGCAACAATGTATCGACTGTGTTATTTATTCCTTATGCCAAAAGAAACCATGAAGAATATCTACGATTGGCTGAGAAACCATTCAAAAAATGGGGTAATTATCCATTTCCCTTGACTCTCCATATACACAAGGTCTGTCGCAAAGTAAATAGGGCTTTTGAAAGATGTCCGATACAAGTAGCGCCATCTATTATCGAAGACTAGCGTTGGATAGGTACGTCTTTCATAGATGCCTTATCAAAATTTCATGACAATCGAACCACTTCACGCGGAGTTATCGCGCTCAAAGTGACAGTACGTTTTTAACATCGGTCGAAAAATGAGCATCGAACAACGGTGTTAAACTTTGTAAAACATTTACCGAAATGCATCAGATGTTGATGCAAGTGTATGGTGATGATTGCTTATCTCGTAGCCGAGTCCACAAGTGGTTTAACGGTGCAAAGAGGGTCGTGAGTCGCTGGAAGACGACGAACATGTTGGCCAGCCAAAATTTGTATTACGCCAGAAACCATCGAAAAAGTGTGTGTATTTATTAAAAATGATCCAAAATCTTCATTGAGATACATAGAAATGGAATTAAATATCTCTAAAAATTCAATCTATCGCATTTGGGCCAAGAATTTGGGTATGAGAAAGGTGTGTTCACGGTTTGATGAGCACAAGCTCACGGATGACCAAAAAAAGACAAAATGATTGTGACTGGTGACGAATCTTTTTGTTTTCAATACGACCCCGTCAAAGTGCCGAATGGGAGCACCCAAGCGAGCCAAATCGAAAAAAAAAAACCGTTGGGAAAAGTCCAAAGTGAAGACAATGTTCATTTGTTTCTACGATTTCAAAGGAATTATTCACAAAGAATTCGTTCCACCGGGCCAAACGGTTAATGAAGTGTTTTATCTTGGTGTTTCGAGGCGTGTACTGTCGCATATTCGTCCAGAATAGAAAAATGAAGCTAGCGCTAGTTGCATGATAATACGCCATCTCATCGATCAACGCTTGTGTCCGATTTTTTGACAAAAATAGCATTCTAACCATCAACCACTCCCCAGATTCTCCTGATATGGCACCGTGTGACTATTTTCTGTTCGGTAAACTACATTTGGCCATGAAGGAACAGCGGTTTGTCGAAGTAGAGGCCATCCAAAAGGCGTCGACGACCATTTTGAATGACATCCCGGTCAATGAGCTAAAATCATCATTCAAAAATCTTTTGGTCCACGCAAATCGCTATATTAACTCTGAAAGAGACTATTTTGAATAAAATAAATTCGATTTACCGAAACGAAAACTGTTTGTTAATTTTTTCTTTGTCCTGTTTACTTTGCGATATACCTTGTATTTTTTGTAGTATGGTACTTGATGATGAGCATGTGAACAATGAATCATTAACATTAATTAGAAAATGCTTAAGTAGGCTTAGAAATGAATAGCTTTCAACCAGCTTAAAGGAATATGCATTTTGAGATTAATATAACAGTTGCACATTATATAGATGTTAAAGTTGCGACAACATAATAAGTTTATGGGTTCTTCATATGGTTAAACGTTTCTTCACAAAGTCGAGACGGCTAGCGTTCCGAACTATTTCTCCCAAAAATGACGCGGAGACCGTCTGTTCTGTCAGTGTTTATAAATCAAACAATTGCAGACGCAATATACAAAGTCTGAGTGCATATACGGGGTGTACAGTTAGTAGTGGATCTACGGAAGTGAGGTGATAGAGGGTCTCAAAATCTATCGAATGAACCCTTTATGTGTGGTCCGAAATTTCATAATTCAGGACATATTTGCGATTTTGTGAAATTTCGAAAAAAAAAACGGGATAATGAACTTTCAATCGCTTTTATAACTAAACCACTGGGTTCAGGGTTGTGATTTTTTTCTGAGATGAGCTAAATGGTTGGTTTTAGCAACGGTTATGTCACTTTTTAACAGAGCTTATTAGAAATCAACGCAAAAAATCTTAAACTCATTTTTTGTGAAAAATCTCTTCCATCCCTCAACTTTGGAGGGCGGTAAAAAATTGAGGTTGTATTTCATTATTCATTCTATTGTAAAAACTATTTCAATCCATGTAGAATAAACCCCGAAAATTTCAGCTTGGTACTATGAGTGTATCATGTCCCATTTGTTGTTGTGATGCGCTAAACGTAAGAAACGCAATAGAATCCTTACCACCTACAAGTACAGAACCTATTGTGTTTAGCCGCTCTTTATGGCGATTTACCGTCAAATGTGGAAGATAATATAGTTTAATTTAACTAACTTTTAAAGAACATATTCGAAATGGCCTCCATTATTTTCTATACACAAGCGAGACCTTCTAATGAAATTGACCTGTAGTCTTTGAAATGAATTTGTGTCTTCCATAATTTTTATTTTTGCTTCTTCAGTTTTCAGGCGCAGTTGCTTGATATTTGTATATTCAGATGTATAGATTATTCCATTAAAAAACCCCCATATAAAAAAATCTAGACCTAGGAGGCCATCGTATGTGTTCACCGCTACCTATCCAACGCCCAGGAAAGGCACTGTCAAGTAATGCCGTACGTCCCGTGCAAAGTGGCATGGGGCACCATCGCATGAAAAATACATGCGGCTTCGAACATCCAAAGGTACATCCTCTAGCAGCTCATGCATTGATTTTCTGTTGAGTACTCCAGGCCATAAATTAACGCCGAACTGACGTTGAAAGCTGTGTCGCGAATAGCGTGTGGATTTTCCACGTTCCATGAATGGAAATTTTGCATGTTGAATATTTAATTTCCGTTAAAGTTGGATTCATTTGTCCATAAGATGCTGTCGAAACAAGTTTCATCCTCTTCGCACCTTCTCAACATATTCTCACAAAATTCAACCCGTTGTGCATAGTCGCTTGAAAGCAATTCTTGTGCTTTTTGTACATGGTAAGGTTCTCCGAGCGTAGTATTTGTGCACTGAAGTATGGAATATGTTTCTGCTCCCGGCAATGGCTCTGGTGCTTATAGAGGGATCTCTCTCGGCTGCTTCTATTATATCTTCTATTTCTTCTGGGAGTATCTTCCGCGCTCCTAGCTGACGATGAGTGCCTAGTATGCGGCCCTCCATATACGCATTATGGACGCGTAGAAAAACCCGGTAGTCGGGATATACCGCCTGTTGTGGTCCACCTTTTCTAATCACATACACACGATACATGCGAGCAGCACCATAATAGTAATGCATTTCTGCATAATCTCGCGGGGAATATGACATGATTCTACTCAGATGCCAAACGTTGGATACAAATTTTGCGCTGGACCATTGCCTGAGGTAGTAATTTCGGTCGGCCGAAGATTGAACGCTCCCGCACCTAGTTTTTAAAATAAAATTAACAATTGAATACAACCTCCATTTTTTTACCGCCCTCCAAAGTTGAGGGATGGAAGAGATTTTTCACAAAAAAATGAATTTATGATTTTTTGCGTTGATATCTAATTAGCTCTGTTAAAATGTGACATAACCATTACTAAAACTCACCATTTAGCTCGTCTCACAAAAAAAAATCACAGCCCTAAACCTAATGGTTTAGTTGTAATTGCGACTGAAAGTTCATTATCCCGTTTTTTCGGAATTTCAACACAAAATTGAAAATATCTACTGAACTATAAAATTTTCGGACCACACATATAGGAGTTTATTCGATATGTTTTGAGGCCCTGTATCATCGGACTTCCAGTGATCCACTACTAACTTTACACCCTGTATATACCTTTTTCAAACATTTCTGTGTTTCTAATAAATTAATACACCATCAAAAAAGTAGCTACTTTTTTGCCGGAATCAGTATATTGATATTGATGATTTGTTAGTTATGTCGACCATCTTTTCCAGTAAGCTAGTGTGTTTGCATGGTTTTTGATAAAAAAATATGGTTAGTCCATGGAGCAGCTACTATCATTTTCATGAGTATCTATTACGGTAGAATAACAGCTGATGATTATTAATATTTCAAAATTCCCTATATCAACAAATGATACGCAATTCTGAAGGATCCTTCAACGGCAGGTAGACAGAGCCGTATTTTGTTGTTTTTTGTACGCTACTGATTCATTTGCTTGCTAACAATTATTTTATTTGGAAAAGCTATTTGGTATACAAAAAAACGCCCAAGTCAGGGAATAAAATAAGATAAACAGTTTGTGACCGTGTTAAAACAACTTTACTTTTTGAATTTGAAGCACCATATGATTTTAAATGCAATGAAACATATATGCAATTAATTCAGAATGTATGGTAGTATATGAGCGAATTGATAGGGGTTCGATTCCCTGAATTAGGTCTGAGCATTATTCAGGTGTTGCTAACAAGTTAGAAATTAGAAAAATAAAAGTGAAATGTACAGCTATGGCAGGACGTCATGAAATGTACTTAACTGGGACAATGCAGTGTTCAATTTTTTTTTTGAGAAAATGAACCATATCTGTCGGAATGTCGAAAAAAATCCCTCTAGCGGACACATGTGAAACTAACAAAACTACAAATATAACGTTTGTAGCCCAAGAATAGCTCTTTTCCACTAGTCCAAGTTTGTTAAAATCGGCTCAGCCATTTCGAAGAGAGAAGGTGTTTTTTACGGAAACCTTTGAGTACCCCCACCACTTTATTTTTAGAGATATAGCAAAAATTGTCAAACAAAAAAAAATTACATTATCCTCGATTTTGATGATCAGGCATTTTTTTGTTAAGTCAATATAGCGGAATTCACAGAAGCATCACTTTTTTAGATTCAAGATTGCAGTTACGTCCCTAGCGGAAACTTGTAAATATTTTCCAGGTTTTTCTCTTCGCCGTTTTAGTAAGAACTTTTTTGCCGCAGGCATCTACGATAGGTTTCCAGATGTAGTACCTCGCATTCTTAGTTAGCCACCAATTATAATTTTCTATAAAACTTTTTTCTATTAGTACTTCGTATATTTTATTGTCAAAATTCCTAGTCAATAAAAGTATCTATATATGTGAACAACAGTTCTAATGCGGTCCTACGTTTTACCAGATTTACACCCGATAAATTATTTCCAACGTTACACAATAATAGATGTCACCTTCTGATCAGATGTTTACCTCAGTAGACGTCAAAACGTAATGGATACTCGTGAAATTGGCTACACTGTAGCTATTCAAACTGAAACGACATTATAGAATTGCTTTTGCAATTTTTATTTGATCTATCTTTCTTGCGAAC